GAAACATATGTTTCTGGTAGTCTGCTCTTTTTTTTATAGCTTTTCTAACACTCAAATGAACAAGTTTAAGGCAGGAAAAGATTTCTTAACATATTGATTAGCAATTGTTTTAAACAACTTAAAAAAAAAAAATGTAATATCAAATAGTTTACAACCAAAGAAACATTATGATATATTTTACCAACAGCCTACCATATGGAGGAAAAACTATGATATATTTAGTGTTACACTGGGGACATGCAACAGAAGTTGTGGTGTTTCCTCGCTGTTTCTCATCAATCCATCGTTGAAGACAGCTCTGGTGCACCCATTTTGTAGTGCCACGACAACGGCAAGGTCTGACCCACTCAGCTTCACTATCTTCATCTTGAGTTGCAAAACATACCCAACAATATTGCCTGATAGATAAGCAAAAAATGATTACTATTTCTTCATCTTGAGTTGCAAAACATACCCAACAATATTGCCTGATAGATAAGCAAAAAATGATTACTATTTCTTCATCTTGAGTTGCAAAACATACCCAACAATATTGCCTGATAGATAAGCAAAAAAACGATTACTATTAATATGATAGTGAACAGCTTGCTCATAAAAATCAATATGCAGGAAGTTGAAAAACAACAATAACTAATGTGTTAATTTCTTCACATAAAAATAAGAAGCTACTGTACTTAAGAATGTCCTTATGATTATTTTCATAGAATAACTTATGAATTTAAGGATAGTAAATGTTACCTCAAATCATAACTGACAATTCTATAAAAAAAAATAGGAGCTGATGTGTTAGGAAGAATACAAACAGGGAAATAATAATTGATGGTATATTATTTGTGTATTCTTGGTGCTGTTTCAAGTTAAAATCATCAAACATATAAGAGTCATTAACAACAACATAAATACACAAAATGGTTCAAGTACAGTTTGATGACACAAGTGTTCTACATGACACAGGAAAGTAAATATTAGAAAGGAATGAAACTGCCATTTGTATGGATGTTAATGGTCAAGAATATTCATTAAAGCATGACAAAAACCTGAAAATAATGCAAAAAAAAATTTTTAAGAAGTTTTAAGTGATGTTGAAGAAATGCAGAATAATCACTAGCTTAGAAAAAAGTAATCAATGTTACTTGTAAGAGTTATAAGATCAGATCTGTTTGTTTGTGTATGCAAAATACATTCAATGAAGCATACTGAGGGAAATAATAGTCTTAAAATTAATAAAATAAATACAAGCTATATGTCAAACCCATATGATGGAGAAAGGCATAAAGTTTGAAACAGTGGTTAGCATTTCAGAAACTGCTGAAAAAAACAAAACCACAACAAAAATAAAAGTTAAAAATTCTGGTTGTGCCTGGTAAATGTTGATCAAAATGTTGTAATGAAATGTTTAGTAAGCAGAGGAGAAGCTTTATTACACAAATAGAATACGTCAGTTAATTTCAACAAGTGTTAAGTTTGCTAGCAAAAATAAAAACTGCATAGAGTAAGTGTGGAATGCCTGTATGTAAGTGATAAAAGAATTTTACCATCATGTAGTAATATGGATAGAAGGTGGCCAAAGCACAGTATGTTAAGAATTCCCCAAATTGTAAAATCGTTTTAAATTTTATTTAATTAGGCTCAAAATGAATACATTCTAATTTGTAAAACTTAATTGTAATAAATAAAACACACTCTCCATAATTCAGGAATGTTTATACAATGTATTAAAGGCCATAAAATGCAGTGTAAAGCAATGGGCTGTAATAATAGTTAACTAATATCAAACAAGTATTTTTCAGCTTCTCTACTGTATAATCTATGGTAAACTTTGTTTATAAAGTAAGTCATCACGCAATGTCATCTACGTATATCTACATACAGGTACAATATTTCTAAATATAGGAAGAATCAGCCATTTAATGAAAGATTACTTACCTGCAGCCTTCAGTATATTGCAATTAGAGATGTTACTTTTCCAATAATTAGTTTAAGATAATTTTCTCAATGATTTTTTCTTTTCAAATTTAGATTCTTTATTGAATATAACAAAAACACTACTACTACTACTACTGATGTCTATATTAGATGCATATTTAGTATTAATTACTTCTTTATTGAGAAACTTTGCCTTACTAGGCATAAGAATAAATATAATTCCAGAGTTCTTTTTTTCTCTAAGTTTATTTTTATTGTATCAGTGTTCACATTAATGGACATTTCACATATAAATGCACAAATTGTAATGTTAGGAACGCAGAAAACTACTTTACAATACACCTGTCTATCTTCAAACTTGTGTACTCCCTAACACGGAAGATCTCACTGCGGGAAAAGCAATGAAAACATTCCAGGCAAACAAGTGCAGTGTAAAAAATGTTCATATGTTTAGTAAGTATTAAATGAGACAGTTCAAATTTTTGATGTTTTTAAGTTGTATGTATAAATATACAATGTAACCTCATTTTTTACCAAATCATTGGGTCCCTGGGACAAAAAAATTCAAGTTAATAAGGTACTGGGCACTTTTGAGCATTTCTTAATAACTATTACAAAAATAAATGATTTGATTTACCTAACAGTCACTATCCATAAGTTACTAACTAGTATTCTTTCTTTCTCCCTCATGTCACCCTGACTTACTGTCTTACCGTCAACTTCACTTGACATTGACTTCTTTTGTGTTATTTTTGCTAACTACAGTCCTGTTAGTAATTGTAACTACAGCTGCTAGATTCTGCTCTCAATCCATGTTGTTGACCTTTCTCTTTCACCACTATCCAGGTACTAAACTTCAAGGAAGTGGAGATTATAGCACACAATAACAAGTTAAGCTATTCATCCAGTGTGAGGTGGTAGAACCTTACACTGAATGCTTTCCAAACACAAGTCAATTGTTTATCGTTGTGTGGTTGTTGACTCAGTATAAGTCACACAATTAGCATGGTCAATCCAGAATATACACAACTTTTTGGGTCTTGTACGTATATACCCCAGACCACACTTATCATTTTATTCAATTCCACCAAAAATTATACTGGTTTACTTTTTTATGATGGTGTGGTCGTTGACTCTATGTAGGTCACCTAATTATCACAGGTGTTATAGGATATATAGCATAAATATATATAAAACTTTCTTTATCTTTACCATACATACTCCATCTAGTTCAAGCACTTATTATACCATAGAGGCTTAAAATGATATCTGTCATATCACGTATCCTTTCTATTATATCCCCCCCCCCCTTCAATTCCAGTCACTGGGCTGACTTTCTTTAGCAAGTCTGACTTCAAACACTATGACGATTTGAAATGGGTAGAACTAAGCAAGGTACACTAGTGATCGTAACTTTTCATGAGCTGTGTTAGTGCTGTGTGGAGATCTAACAGGAGCTAACAAGATATTAAATAAGATGCAAATTTGCATGTTTTTCTGTAATTTATAGTATTCAATTAAATAATTCAATTTGTATCTTAGTTATAGTATTAGCTAGATTAATAGAAAACAGTAAATTTCTTAAATAGTATTAATTACTTTGGCCAAACATGACAGGCAGGGTACAAGAAATTTTACATATGATAGTTTTGTTTTGGTGATTGGTAATATCATAAGTAGGCCCAGCCTTATCAGAGTTCTTAGATTAAGGGCAGAATTTAGTAATTTGCCTATTTATTATTCATTGAAATTATTATCTTAGAATTTTAGCAGCTCTTCAGATATAATTTATTACATAATTAAAAAAATCAAGAATAAGATGTTAGAAAAATATTAAAAATAGTTTTTAAAAATCACGACAAATTTTTCTATTCATGTCAATAGTTTCAACATAAATGAAAAATGCCAAGAATTTAAGAATATAAAATTTACAAGTTAACATGACACAAATTCAGAAAAAGAGTAAAAATTTGTTGATGTTAAGAACTCAAAACATCAAAACTTAACATGAAGATTTGTATGCTTAAGCAGAATGCAACAAAAAAGTCACTGTTAATATTGGCTCTAAATTTTCACAGAGGTACGATACATGGGCTGAAGTGCTCAATAACTTCTTCTGTTACACTTTCAAAAGAAGCTCACCAATACTAAACTGTCTGTTTACATCTGGATTCAAGTTATTGATAGCCAAGAACTTTTGATTCATAAATAAAAGTCACTTTCGGCAGTCCAATAATTTTAAACTGCTTGATAGTAACTGGAATTTTAATACAATCTAACAAATGTTAAAGTCTGTTTAACCCTTCCACATTTCCTGGTAAACTGTGCTTCTTGATTCTATCTACTAGCTTTCTTGTAGTAGATCCTATATATATACTCTAAAACATCCAGAGCATTTATACATGTAGATAATATTTGAGAAATTTGGTTTACCTTTTTATATCTTTAAGCACAAAATAGTTCCTTATTCAGATGGTGGCTTCAAGGATGACTTCAACTTTGGATAATTAAATTTGAAGTTGCTTCTTTATATCAAGGAAGTTGAAAGAAAATCTGATTAGAATTTTGGTATACAGAGTCCATAAACTTACTACTTAGAATGGAAATAACAACTTAAGTTGTATTTAAGCAAGAATGATTTTCCAAGAAAACTGTGACGTATAATAATAATACTTATCAACAATAAACAAGTACATCTAGAAAGCTTCCTTCTAAAAAGCTGTATAATGTACCAAATAAAAGACTCTTTATATAACATTACCACTCACCAGTAAACTTCCCTTGAAAATAAAGAAACAACTCAATACTTTATTGTGCAATGTTTATCCACAAGTAGAACTTTTGAGTCATCCTTAAACCAATTGTCCAAATAAGGAACTACTTTGTGTTTAAAGACAAACCAAATTTCTCAAACATTTATCTACATGTATAAATGGTCTGAATGTTCCAGAGTATATATAGAATCTACTACAAGAAGACTGGTGGACAGAATCAAGAAGAGTAGTTTACCAAAGTATGTGAAAAGGTTGAAGATTCTTAAACATATGTTAGATTGTACTGACATTTCAGCTGCTATTGGAACTGCTGAAAATGACTTTTCTTTACAAATCCAAGAAATCTATGGCACCAAAAACTTGAATCTAGAATTAAATAGACAGTCTAGTATTGGTGAGTTTCTTTCAAAAATGTAATGAAAATTCTTTGCTTCTGTTTTTTACTGATGAGAGAAAGTAGAGATTGCTAAACTAATTGCTTCAAAAGTGAGATGGATCTTTCTTTGAATTTTATTTTTGTAGAAAAAGCTATTTTGGAAACTTTAAAGTAAAAAGCTTAGCAAGGACATGGTTAATTTTTCAACTTTAGTTATCAAAATGTGTTTGGCATTGTGGAAAATTCTAATCCTTTTTTATTTTATTTTTTCTGAAAAGGGAGAACCTGAAAACAATAAGGCTTCAGGTTTTATGGTGTAGGAAGCTTTAGCTGGAGAATATCACAATAAGACTAATAATCATTTAAACAAAATCTTTATTTATTGATCCAATAAAAAATGATGAAGTCTAAATAATTATCTTCTTGTGATATGATACTATATTACTTCTAAAT